GTAGCACAGTTAAGAGCAGCATGATAATGATATAGCCGATCAATCTAGGAATGACTTGAAGGATTATTTAAACTCGTAAGCAACGAAAATTATTTAGGGTTATTGAATCGGAGTGCGGTCTCGATTCACTATTCGGTGTTCTCGATTGACGACAACCCAGAACCTAGGAACAATTGGATCCAGTGAGCAATAATAGTTGATGAAGAACCCATAAGAAGTTATGATGTCCCATGATATTCTCAAGATACCAGGGTGTAATGCTAGACGGTAGATCAAAGTAAAGGTTGGACTGGTGTATTGATCCACAGAAGACAAGTGCTTAAACTTGCCCGAGAAATGGTATTAAGGAGAAAATATGGTCGGAACCACGATTGCAAAGGGATCAATCCACAGACACAAGATGATATTATATCAAGGGGTAATTAGTTTAAGAGAAGCTTCCATGATAAGATCTACATCGTGTCCACGGGCATGAACACAAAGTTCAAGGTCGACTCCCACTTCTCCAATGCATAACCTTTCATTCACTTCTCACATTCCAAGATGTTGTAGTGTTGAAAAACTACATGACGAAACAAATAGTAGAGTATGACCTGTAGAAGTTTTCGGGTCACACAGATTAGGGAAAGACATAGGTTCAACCCACTGGGGCATCGTGGAAACATATACCACAAGCTTCAATAGCAAATATCACCATCTCGAAAGCAGAGCATGGCCGGCCAAAATCAAAGAATAGGATTTACCAATGGCATTATGTATCTGGGAAAGAACTTCTCGAGGTTTTTGTATACAAAGGACACTGTTAGATGATAATTCAACAAAGGATTTGACGGTCCACAACAGAGCTGATGTGAGCATCGGCACACAATCAGAAGAAGAAACAATGAAAGGAGATCAGATTATGGAAACAACTGAATAACTCAAAGCTCAAATGCAAAGGAATTATGAATTCCAAGACAAGGGACCAGAAGCAAACACTCTGATTAAGGATGGATAAGTTGAATAGGCTTAGGGGTACAATCGATTGCAAGTTGATTGGTCGAGATCCAGCTCATGTTTAAAATGATATCTGAGCTAGAAGGATGAATTCTAGGATCTGATTGAGGATCACGAGCATTCGCAACATATTGAATCAATGGAATCAAAATGATAATGACAAGGGATGCCAATAAGATTACGAGACTTATGGAATTAACCATAACACAAGCAAGCAAGAATTTCAAGAGCAATAGACTACTCAGGATTTTCGGAAGACCGCATGGTATTTCGAAGACTTTTGCGAAACACATGAACAACTGGGGATGAGCAAATGCTCGATAAGTGCGAGGAATTATCCATAGGGTTATTCAGGAGGAAAAGAGCTGCATGGCAGTCGGAAAAAGGATTCTCGAAAGTCGGAGAATACTTTCGCGTATCTTGTAATAACAAGAACAACTAGGGATGAAAGTATGAACGACGAGGGTACATAGTTATCCATAAGGATTCAACGATGTTAAGGGATTGCAAAAGAAATCAACACAAGTTCTCGGGAGTAGATCGGAGAATATCTTCGAAGTCTTCTGGTGAAGCAGGCAACCATCTGGAATGAAGGGGCTCTCCAGGGAAAGTCGTTACGAGAACCTAATGTCGTTAGTAAAATCATTTAACCCGAATAGAAGGGAGAACAGAGTCCTAGAGTATAGACAAGGAATAAAAGATCCTATTACCACCCAATGGCGACGTGGGCCCATGGGCCGCACAGCCATGTTAGTAAAACAGTTTTCACTGACTAGACTCGACTTCGACCAAGGAGTGTGGAAGGTGCATTCCTATAGGCAGTCGGCTCTGATACCAACTTGTGACGCCCCCGATTTGACCATACACTAATCATACACGCAAACGTGTACGATCAAGATCAGGGACTCATGGGAAGATATCACAACACAACTCTACAAATAAAAATAAGTCATACAAGCATCATATTACAAGCCAGTGGGTCGAGGGCTCGAATACAAGAGCTCGATCATAGACGAGTTAGCGGAAGCAACAATATCTGAGTACAACCATAAGTTAAATAAGTTTGCCTTAAGAAGGCTAGCACAAACTGGGGTACAGATCGAAAGAGGCGCAGACCTCCTGCCTGGGATCCTCCTAAACTACTATCTCAGGACCCCCTACTCGAGTTTCGTTGAAATCGACTCCGTCACCGACGTTCTTCTGTAAGGAGCTGGCGGCGGTAGTCGTATCTGTCATATGGGCCATCTCGAGTAGTCACAATAATGATGATATTAAGTTCCAACCGATTCGCTCTATGGAGCTTATCAGGGAGATGATCCAGGCACTAGATATTCTAGAAAGTGTCGCGACCATGCTAAGACCGGGAGAAGTTTGGCTACAACTGAAGGTTGTGTGAAGATCAACACTGATGCTATGATGAACGCAGTAGCAAAGTCCTCAGGAGCAGGATTGTAGCCCGAAATCACAATGGTGAGTTCTTGGCTGGAATCTGCAAATATAATGATATGATATACCCCTATATTAGTGAACTGTAGGCAGTTCGGGAGGCAGCATGTCTTGCGGTGGAGAAGGGATGACAACATGTCCTCATCGAGACAGACTGTCTGATAATCCGAGATGAATGGAAGGATGGTACGTTCAGGTCCATGAAGACCATATATTCAGAGAGATTCAACCACTTCTCTTAAATTTGTAGGAATTTGATATTACCTATGCTCGAAGAGACGTCAATGAGGTAGCTCATAGGTGTGCTAAGGAAGCTGTAATTAGTGTTTTCAGTTTAACCTCTTTTCATGTATGAGTTCTTGCCTGCTCTTATGCAGTTGAACTCTATTCGCCAATACGTTGAATAAAATGTCTTGAATGGCGGTTCTAAAAAAAGACTGGGATACCATCCAACTTCATGGGGAAATGGCTTTTGAAGATGAGTCAATTCTGAGCCATCAGTTTGCTACACATGTTTGCAAGATGAGGACAACGTAGATCACATTATGTCTACATGCGGATATGCGCGCGAGGTTTGGTTCCTCATTTGGGACACTCTCTGCATCAACGTACAGGACCGCCTCCCAGCAGATACGACTCTTGAATGATGGTTGACAGAGAAAAGACAATTCCACAAGGCCGACAAGCGAGGTTTTGACACGTTGTTCATTGCGGGCATGTGGGCTCTTTGAAAGCAACGCAATGCTAGGGTCTTCAACAGAGCTGACCAACAAAAGGATGCTAGGGAGCTTGCCAATATGATTCTTGGAGAGGTAGCTGAGTGGAAGCAAGCGGGTGGCAGTGTTGGTGGTCTACAACGATTTGTGAGGAGTTAGCTTAGGCGTGTTAGGAGGTGTCGGTGCGGTGTATGTGTGGCCGTTTGTGCGCATTCGAGTCATATTTTTTGTAATTATGCTTTCTACTACCTTCTATAAAAATATGATACACCGTTGTCCTCACCAAAAAAATGAGTCAATTCTCTCGCTATTTGTTGTAAAAAAATAAATTCTCTCGCTATCTCGCTCAAAAAAAAAAAGAAAAGAAAAAAAAACTCTTGCCATCACTCAAAACACCTTCCACCATCCCGTCCGTGCTTTTCCTCTTCCTCTCCTGACCTAGCTCAAGCTCCGATCTACCCAAGCTCCGACCCGACCCGACGCAGCTATAGAAAATATCTCCAGTCTATCACCGCCGTGAGGCTGCTGAGGGCCACCGCCGACGCCTCAGACCTGCAACCCCTCTTTCCCTGCCCGCCCCCAACCCCGC